TGACTCTACCGAGCAATGCCAGTACCCAGTTTTATCCGGAAAATAAACCGGGTCACTACAAGGTCAAATTACCCAGAAACATTTTTCTACCGGAAAACGATTGGGAGGTAGCCTTGGCTAGTATTTCCTTTCCGGATATGGTGACTCGAGTGGACGATTTCATAGACGCCCGAGTACCTAGCATCGTCTACGTTTACCCTTTTTCGTATCAAAGCGATAACGGGTGCAATTTTCTTTGTTTGGAAGTTTTAACCCTCGTTCAATTGCATTTCTCCTTCAAACAATCAACTTCCAAAATGTAATTGACTGGTGTTCAAAGTTTACACACATTAGTGAAAAAGCTGGTTTATTCAACTTCCTTTAATTTTCCTTTCTCTGAGATCTAATTCTCCATGAAAGAAATTTTGCGTCGTTATTGAGATTATCTCGAGAACCGTTCAATTAACTGAACAAAAGGATACGTGTTTTGTCCTGAGAATAATATCAAAACCCGCGTGGACTACAGCTGTGAAAAACAATACAGTCGGGTGCTTGGAGCGACAGGTGCACTACCTAGCTGATTATGAATATAGAGATTAAAGGTGAACCGCCCTAACGAATTTTGAAAAGCTTAGAGTTCAAGCTCTGTCTTATGAAAGGCTTAAGTTCCATACTTCGTGACTGTTTTAGCCCGACTAGAAGTTTCGGTAATCCAGTATATTATTTTTATAACTTCTTTTCTGGAAATCATTTAAGTACATACACTATGTAATCAACGATAAAAAATACTATTTTGGGACGGAAAAATAATAATAAACCTTGAATTGCGATAGAAGGCATACAGGTGGTGTATTGTTACGAACTATTTTTAAGATAGGGATGAATCGGTCGGAGTTTACAAACAACCTCATTGCGCGGAGTTATGAAAAGAACTGCGAACTTTGTTTACGCTTTAGACAGCAGTTGGAAGTTTGCCCGATTTTATTCACGTTAACAGACAATCGACTGGTTATTTTCCGTATGAACAGGTCGCTTAAATTCTCAATGTAATAGAAGGAATTTCCTTTGTTCATCTTGTTTCCCTTATTTCAAGGAAACTCGGTTAGAGACGACTTTGCGAGGTAGGCACCAATTGTTTTTATGGACGCGAAAAACGTTGAAACAGCCAAGTCTGAATTGAAGTACTTTTCAAGAGCATGATTAATCTTCGTGTCAAGCCCTACGTTTTGGCCTGTATGTAAAGGAAGAGACATAAACACAATAGAAGGTGAATGACTTGGTAAATATTGACGGAATGAGTGGCCTCGTGGCGTTAAAACCCGTGGGAAAAATGTATTTTGCACCTTTGTGCGGGACATCTGGTCCGTAGCCAATCACAGAGCAAGATGAAAACGAAGGCTCGTAATTAGTTAAAACCTCCAACAAAGCTTCTTTGGAAAACCACAAACAATGTCGAAAATGTGAAGGGTCAATCAGAACCAGCGAGCGCGGAGATGCAGAATTCTAAGACAGTGTGTCCGGAAGACAATTACTTAATTCTGATTTGTTGAAAGCCCTGCGCAAGAATTGATCATCTCATCAATAATCCCCTTCACCCCATAACACCGTGTGCGCCCCCCTTAATCCTTGATTAAGGGGGGCGCGCACGGTGTTATGGGGTGGAGGTTCATTACTTTCTAAGACTTACAAACGGGAGGCGGGAGGGTGGCTTTTTAAAGGGCTGAGCAAAACCTTGCGGAAGGCTAAACTGGCAATTGTTATTTACGATCTAAATCTTCGCCCACACTAAACACATACCGTATACAATACAGATTTCTTGGGTTCAAAACTTAAGATATTTGAAAAGGAATTAGTGTAGGCTTTCCATCAACAATAGTAACACAATTCTATTTCGCCCAAACGAATGATAAAAGCTCTTCTTACCATGGGGAGGAGGGGAAGGGGGTTCGTTATGAGGGGGGGCTTAATAGAGGGAAAGGGTTTTGGAATGGTTTGACATGCACACCAAGCAGCGATCTTCCTTAAAGAGCGCTTAGTGTCACAGAAATTTCTGCCTTCTTATTTTTCTAAAATAAATTCATTATAAAAAATTTATTTATAAAAAATCAGGAGTAATAGGCTCCTGAAAAAGCCAATACGCTTTTCCCTTCAATTGTGAGATGGCAGGAACAGCACTCTGGGAACGAAGTTGGGTCGAACTGCTGTGTCTCTTCAGAAGGGTTTTACCGTCAGTGACCGGAATATTTGATGCTTCGGAGACAAGGTCAGAGAGTGTGAGTGGAAATTCGTGTACGGTTAACCCAGAATTCTAACATGTGCTCTAATGTAAACAATACGTAAACCACACCTCATTCCTCAGTCAAGTTGGATAGTGGGAAAATAGTTCGTCCTAATGCTTTTGGAGAGATCTCCAAGGAGAGGGGTGGGACGGAGGATTTTAGGGGATCACATGGTTTTCAGCGGCAACGGAGGATGGAGGTGGAAGATTTTGTGGGAGTCATATGGTTTTTAGGGGTAATGAAGGGGGGGGCGGAGGATTTTGGGGGATCGCATTGCTTTCAGGGGTAACAGATGGGGGAGGAGGGGGATTTTGGGGGGAATCACATGGTTTTCAGGGGTAATGGAGGGGGCCGGTAGATTTTGGGGATCACATGGTTTTCAGGGAGGAACGGTCGTCGCTAACAGAGTTTAAAGTGGGGACTATATTGAGGGGATATTATTGGAATACTACAGAGCATTATGAAGGATTAGGTAAATTTGGTTGCGACAAAACCAAAATCATTCGATCCTCTCCCCTTCATTGGCAATTTTTTAGTCAGTTCCGAGAGATATCATTAAGGAAGTCAGATTTCCGCCTTCATAAGACACGAGGAACTGAATAAATTAAAACAGGTCAGTGCAGCAACCGACCGTCCATTTCAATTCACACTGTCACGAGCTCTGAAATATTGTGAAATCATAAGACTATAATGGATTGGAAGTTGTAGCCGAGCTTCCTTAGACTTACTTTATGAATCATGGAATTAAAATAGTCGATAGCGGTCTGAATTTGGTTCAATCTGAGATGAGTATTTTTCTTTGCTGAATTAGAGGCCAGATACTAGTCTTCTCATGCACTGATCTATTAGAAAAATAATCTGATTGATACGCTTTTCAGTTTTAACTCTTTTCCGTAGTATTTTATTCCCTCATAACACAATTCCTAAAAGTCTAGCTTGTTCCAGATGTTCAGTTAGTGAAACGCAGCGCGATAGAGCGAGGTTTGGGTCGGGTTGCATTTTTTTGTTCCAACATGAAATTCAATTATTCGACTATAAATCAATTGCATTTTTTTCTTTTTTAAAGCAGTGACCACTTTTCGCCGTCCTTCGGACTGTCCTTCAAATACGCATTTCGTCGGCCGGAAAGACAAGCTGATGCGGCATATGTTGCAATTGTTGATGGCGCATCGAATAATCGTCATTTTGGTAGTCTTTCCTAAACGGCTGGCCGTTTCCTAATCCGCCAACGCCACCGGCGTGGGAATACATGTTGGAGTTAGTGATGGCGTGAAATGCGGCCTGTTGAGAGATCGGTGGAGGCGCCTTCTGCGCCGAATGACAAGTTCTTCCGTTAAAGACTAAAGCTCGAGAGTCGGAAGGTTGCAGACCGACAGAAGGTAAGTCCGGTGTGCTATGCACCGAGTAGAGTCTTTGACCCTCTAATGGCCTGACGGGCATGTACAGACAGTCTGATGTAGTGGGTACAGTGTGGTCCATAGCGACCCCCTGCCCTAAAGAAGTGTTCATGGTAAACCCACATATGGACATATCCGTAGGATCATCGAGAGCGCCAATTAAATCCCAATCAAGGTCAACCTCTTCCAACCCGGCTAGGTCATCGGGTGATAATATTTCTAGTGGTGAAGGCGGTTGTGCATCCAACGAATTTGGAGCTTGAAAAGGTGATAGCGCAGTTGAATCCGCAGGAGATATGCCGGGAGAAATGCTCCCTAACGGCGAGAGTACGTTCGTGATTGGCACACAATTTGGCGAAAACGCCTGCTGCTGTTGCTGTCCAGCAGTGCAGGACGTTACAACATGCCCGGACCCAGGAGATGAAAGCGTTGGGACGACACTCGTTGACGAGTGCACTTCCTCGTCAGGCCGCGCCTTCTTGCACTTCCTCTTTGCATTATTGTTATTATTATTTCCAGTTGCACTCGGCCTGGGTCTCGATCCAGGCGTTCTACTCCCTGTGGCCTTTGGACGCGCCGCATGGAATTGTTGTACCATGGCTGCCGCGCTACCATTGGGAATTTCGACAGCTGGTGGCGATGTTGCCAGAGGAGATGCTATGCTAACCATGGGTGATTTTTGCCCCTCGGGGGTGAAGTAGGGGCTGGAACTGCCTTAGGCGAGTTACAGCCAAGTGACCAATCCGTAAGCAATTCGACAATGTCGTGATGATGTCTTTGTTCAGCGATATCTTCAGGTGTCAGTCTGATGTAGTGGGTACAGTGTGGTCCATAGCGACCCCCTGCCCTAAAGAAGTGTTCATGATAAACCCACATATGGACATATCCGTAGGATCATCGAGAGCGCCAATTAAATCCCAATCAAGGTCAACCTCTTCCAACCCGGCTAGGTCATCGGGTGATAATATTTCTAGTGGTGAAGGCAGTTGTGCATCCAACGAATTTGGAGCTTGAAAAGGTAATAGCGTAGTTGAATCCGCAGGAGATATGCCGGGAGATATGCCGGGAGAAATGCTCCCTAACGGCGAGAGTACGTTCGTGATTGGCACACAATTTGGCGAAAACGCCTGCTGCTGTTGCTGTCCAGCAGTGCAGGACGTTACAACATGCCCGGACCCAGGAGATGAAAGCGTTGGGACGACACTCATTAACGAGTGCACTTCCTCGTCAGGCCGCGCCTTCTTGTGCTTCCTCTTTGCATTATTGTTATTATTATTTCCGGTTGCACTCGGCCTGGGTCTCGATCCAGGCGTTCTACTCCCTGTAGCCTTTGGACGCGCCACATGGAATTGTTGTACCATGGCTGCCGCGCTACCATTGGGAATTTCGACAGCTGGTGGCGATGTTGCCAGAGGAGATGCTATGCTAACCATGGGTGATTTTTGCCCCTCGGGGGTGAAGTAGGGGCTGGAACTGCCTTAGGCGAGTTACAGCCAAGTGACCAATCCGTAAGCAATTCGACAATGTCGTGATGATGTCTTTGTTTAGCGATATCTTCAGGTGTCATGTCCATAGAATCGGCAACTTTCCTGTTGGCATAATTCACCAAGAGATGTCTCACGGTCTGTACGCTGCCTTCACGACAACCCAGGAACAACGGAGTTTGACCCTAGAAATGGATTAAAAAACACTTTAACACCAATCACCGTCACAAAAAAAATTATCAAAACAGAAAAAGGCTTATCTTTGACTGTTGTATTCCTTTTAAATTCACCCTACAATTGCAGTACGACTTCAACGATCGCGTTACGCACCCGCTGAAATCCATCCCCTGGCTGCTGCGAAAGACAAGGGAACCTTTTCCATACAGGCACGGTCAGCGAGAATAGCTTTCCCTGCAAGCCACGATGGGCCAATGGTGAAAAACCCACAATACCTTGCGCATAGGATTTCAACAACCACATAAAATGACCGCATGTATCGTCGACTTTAACGATCAATTTGCGTTGCAAATGTCCGGTGAATTTGATTAGATATGCAGTCAAATAAAACTCCTCTGCTTCCTGCGAACCAAGCTCACATGAAAAATAGATGTGAATTCAACTAACCTTTTCGTCCTGCGCGTCTTTCTTGGCGCCATTTCTTAACAACTCTTTGGTGACATCCAGGCTGTTCACTGACGCAGCCCAATGCAAAGCCGTTTTCCCTATGAGAAACATTCAAGCTGTCAGAATTCGATACGAATGTTTAAATCTATCCTATTTCAGAAACGGAAAATGGGGGTGAGGAATTCACCTTGATTGTCAGCACTGTTAACCTTCACTCCGGCTTTGATGAGGTGCCGCACCAGGTCTGGAAGGTCGTGTCTTGCGGCAAGGATAAGCGGAGTGGTACCGTCGTCCATTCGGAATTCGAGGTCTGCGGCACGATTCCTTAACAAGATCTGAATGCACGGAGAAATGAAGTCGGTCAGAGATATCAGAGAAAAAGAAAAAAATTTAATCAATTTGCAATAGGAAACATCGCGGGAATGCTAGATGATGATGAATGGAATTTTGTTGGATAACATTTGCTTTCCTAAATCAAGGTGAATACATATATGTTATTTGCCGGCTGGGAGGTCCGTATGGTGAAAAACTGTGACCGAGGTCTTGAAAATACTGCCCGAGGCCGTAGGCCGAGGGCAGCATTTTCAAGACCGAGGTCACAGTTTTTCACCATACGGACCGACCCTTAGCCGGTAAATAACATATTTATTGTTTTTAAACTTGACGAAATTCTTTCCGAAAGAACCCGAATGATTTATGGCCGTAAATACGGCAAGATCTTCCATAAGCTGAATTTTTGAGTGGGTAAATGGTAGTTAAAATAGAGGTGATGCAAATTTGAGAGAGATGCCTCAGCGAAACATTTTCATTTCCGTAACGATAAAGGTGATTTGAAAGGCTTCCAAACAAACTTTGAAACATTATTTTTACGAGTATCTGTCACAATCTGACACCTGTCAATTAGAGAGCACGCAAGAAAAAGAAAAGCGAAGGAACATTTGAAAACCAACAGAACTAGTATGGCAAGGACTGTCACGACAATGTTTTCTTCAAAATCAGTGAATGATCTAACGGAAAGTATTATTCACTCTCATCGACGATTCATTCATGTACGAAGATTTACCTCTGTTCATTAAGTAAACGGCGAGGAAATTAATTGTGAGTAAATTCAATCTTTTTATTTTGAAGTGGTGAGAGTTTGCTCGTTTGTTTGCTGTAATGGCGTGTTTAACTCTGATCTTTCCTTCACAAAAACTAAATTCGAACGGCACACTCCAACGAGACACAAGGGAATGTAATGCGGCCTTTTCTCAAAAAATTCATTCAATTTCTGTTGTGCAATTTAAGGTACAAATGTCCAAATTGAACGAAATTGGAAAGACTCACCAGGAGCGTATATTTGTTGTAGAACTTAAATTAAAACTTAGCTCGCTCTTTCACTATGAACAAATTGCTCGAGAAAATTCAGATATGAAATGAATGAAAGTTCCATCGTTCAGTTTAACTGTAACCAAATACCTCACGTTCCAACTTTCTGGATACTTTTTGGGAACGATTAAAATTAATTGCAGACGGTTTTTAGGCCGCTTGTCAACCAACGTAATGACACTATTGTTTATACAAATTCATTCTGAAACCAATATTTTTCTGTCAACCAAAGTGATTTGATAGGGAGAAAAGAGAGGATTCATAAGTTATTTATCGGCTTGAGGTAGTGACCGACGTGTTTGCTTAAAAATACTGCCCAGCCGGAAAACGAGGTATATTTATGAAAAATGACAACGAAAGTTGGGATGTATTCGGCGACTCACGAAAGCGTTACCGTGGCCCGTGGGCAGAGATAGAAAAATACTGACCGGGTAAAGAACCAATCAGATTGCAAGATTCGTTACCGTGCCCTCTAAAAAAACAATAATAAGTGTTATTTACCTGGAAGACACCTTGTGCATCAGCTCCGATGGCCAAATGGAGGGGCGTGCGGTTGAGACGGTCACGTGCGTTCGCATCTGCTCCGTAGTCCAACAGACGTTTAGCCACATCTGCCCTTGAGTGCCGGGCAGCAAGATGAAGCGGCGTCTCTTCCAGGTCCGTCTTGGAAACATAGTTTGCCCCAAGGGACAGTAGATCCGACACCATGGCCCCTCCACTGTCATCACTGTCTTTGTCATCATCAAGGCTGCTGCCATCACCGTAAGTTCCACGGCAGGATGCCAAGTGAAGGGCTGTCATTCCACCTGGGCCTCTAGCATCCACGTCTACGCCCGGTACCCCTCTTTCGTCGTCGGCGCATGCACCCTCTTCATCAATTTCTGACGAACTCTTACTCATCGATCTTCCGTGAAAGGAAAACAGCAAAATCAAAATGAATTTCCACTTCATCATTTCCCCTAACAAGCTTTACTTTCTTGATCCTAGAGATCATCTTATGATCACCTAATATACTCACCTCATGGAGACTTCTTGCCCTACAGGATCACGTCTGGTAGACGGCTGGCGCCGGGACCGGTATATAGGAAAGCCCTCTGGTACCCATAGCTTGGCATATACTTTCTTGCCACCCAACAACCCTCCCACAAGAAGCAGTGGGATGACTACATACAGAATGGCTATGTAAAGTGGTGACAGCTCAGTTCCAGAAACAGGCGGTGATGGAGTTGGAGAGGTGTCCTCCACTAAATAAAACACGAAAAAGAAACATTTAAAACAATGACACAACGTCAGATAAACGCATGCAGTACGTAAGTGTAAACCGGTAAGTTTCCATTAGTCGTCACGCAACATTCAAAGCGTGAAGTACGAACCTTTAAGAGGCGCCATCAGATTACAATTATCTCTCGCTTTCTGTTTCGCTCAAAATGAGACGTCCTGTAAAAACGAAAAGCTAAATGCACGGAGGGTAGAGCCTTCAAACAAACACTAATAACGAGTATATAGATCATGTGATACAAATGGACCAATCAGAAAGCTGGATTGTCACGAGACGTCACGCAAAACCTAGAAACCCTGGTACCGAGTGTAATGGGGTAATGGGCGCGCGCGTGTGGGTTCGCAAGCGCGAGGAGGTAGGGATGTTTTTTTGCGCGCGGGTAAAAAAGGATTTTTTTGGAGATGATTTTTTCATCTTTTTTGTCATGTTTTTTACTTATTAAAAAACTCCTTTGAATTTTTTGAAAACCCCTCTATCACCCTAGGGAATTCAATGGCAGGTTTTAGATCTTTTCACAGATAAAAATTTTTTTCCCACGCGGCCTGAATGTATTCGCTAAAAAATTTTCTTGAATGAAAACAGACTTTTCTTGAATGAAACTTTGTTTTTCTATTTAACACAACATTGGACTTTTACATTTTCTTTTCTGAAGATCACAGGAATGAATATAAACCGTGGCTTCATTTCACTATAAAAACAAAAACAAATCCGACCGTTAATATGCGCACTGAAAAAATATTCACTAGCGACTAAATACAGGAATGGCTCCGACCTGTGATTGTCTCTGGTCGTGCGCGTGAACAGACTAAATGAATTTAGTCAGCGGAGCTAGTCAACAGATGACTTTTTTATCGCCGGAATATTGCTGAACGACCTCGCTGAACAAGCTAGACTCTGCCTTCTCTTCGTTATGTAAGTAGCCATTTCTTGTTTGACTCATCGGTGTTTTCACATTGATATTTCATTGTTCCGCTTCGAGACACGCGGTTAACCATACTCACGTGCAAGGAGTTAAGATATAAGTTATTGACTTTTACTGTTTTTATCATCCAATCACAGGTCGGAGCCATTCCTGTATTTAATCGCTTGTAAAATATTCCCCATCACAATGAAAATAAATCTTACCTCTTCAAGAGTATCTTCAGATAACATGACTGTAGTGAATTCGTTTTCTTCATCGATTTCCGTTCCACACACTAAAAAAGAAAATTCCTTGTCAAAGACTCGCAACGAATCCTGTTTTGAAAAAATTTATTCTCCCACCTTGAATATTCTTATCCACACAAACACGTCTCAACCATCTTTATGAATGAAAAACCCTTCGCAAGATGAGCCATAGTGTCAACCATACCAATAACATGGAAAGAGGAACAAACACGCAAATAAATACTAAACTTTTAACTACCATGACGTTCAGACGCATCGAGTGAAAAGCTTACATGACGTACCTGTCTACCATGACGCCTGCGATACTTTACCTTACGCATGCGCTCCTGGAGATTTTGTCCCATAAGGACAGGGTACACGGAAAGTTAGCATATGTCATGTCATGTCCTATAAACACGTGGTAGCGATCAGATTTTCCCAGTGGTGCAGACTTCCGCCATTCCTTTAGATAAGCGTGGCCGCCCTATCGATTCCGCAGTCTCTCCAAAAGTTGTAGTTAGGTGTGCGCTGAATAGAATGTTACTAGACCCTGTGAGCAGAGTAACTGGGATACCTGGATGGTATTGGATCCTTGGGATCAAATGTAGTGATATTACGGGTGTCAGAATTGTATACTGAAATAGTGAGCTCAAGTCTGCGCAAAGGAAGGCGCCCATTCTTCTCTGTTTTGGATCCCGCAGCGAAAGGGGATTCCTTCACAGAAGTACAGGCAGTCCGCAAAGAGAAGAATATGGAATACATAATTAAGTGAAAATTCGTTTTTGGGACGCTGTTTAAAAGTATAAAACAAAAACAAAAAACAAAAGAAAAAGATTGAAAAATGCAACAAACTTTCCCTCTGCTTTATTAAGGGCTTGGGACCTTCTAGCAATTGCGCTAGGCAGCATTAAAAGTTTGAAGATTTGAATTTATGATGGCATTTCCTCCACCAAGGGAACCATTGCCCAATCCTCAGGAGCTAGTTGCTCACTGAGGGAGCCAGGCTAATTGACCGCCGCCCAGCACTCGGCGTTGTTCAAGCAAGCTGGAACGGAAAAAAAAAAAAGTTAAAATAAATAAACAAAAATTATATAAGTCAATCTGTCTTCTTCTTTTTATATTCTTTGTTGTTTTTAAGGTTTTCCCTCCATGTCTCAAAGCTCTCGGTCATTGTGTTACAATACCAGTTTCCAAAGTATTGTTTATGATTTTCAGGGTCTTTCTTCTTTCCACACTTGGAGCAAACCATGTTATACGAGGATCGCTTACGACTAGTGCTTGCCTTTTGTTCCTGAGTAGTCCTTGTTTCATCTTTTTGCTGTGAGTGTACTGATGGTTGAGATTGAGACTTTTGTTGCCAAGATTGAGGCTGATGGTGTTGTGTTTGTATTTTGGATTGTATTGGAACAGGGGGAAATCTTCTGACTACTGTTGGTGGCTGTAAGAAAGTAACAGGAGGAACAGGAGCTGGAAGAATTGGCATCGGTTGGCAAGCTTTTGAAGTTTGACCTCTGAGAACAGCTGTTCCTGTGGTATTGGTTGGTAATACAAATTTAAAGGGCACAGGATAGTTGACTTGTGGCAGAGATGGAGGCAGTGGTATGGCTGCTGGTAAAGGTGTCTTTGATGCTGCTGGTTAAGTATTTCTTGTTCTTTCTTCTTTTGTCGCTTGATATACCACTGACTTAGTGTTGTTTGGTTTATATCTGGTAGCTGAATCTGTGTCTCTCTCATCACCATGCCATTGTTCATAACACGTTCTTGTATGCCTCTGTAGTCTTTACACACTAGAGACCAACGGTTTGTTGTTTTTTTCTTTAATTTCTCTGGCCCAGGATGCAGATTACACAGTTGAGATATGATTGCCTCAGTGTACCTGTTACAATCTGGCCATTGGGCTAGAGCACTGTTGGAGCCTAGAAAACATCTTAAAGAAAGAAAAAAAAAATTTTATAAAAAAAGAGTCCTGTGTGATATTTACAACATTAGCTGTAAAGTAGCTCATCTCCTAGTACTGTCCAGCCCTGGTACAACATTGGTACTTCTTCTCTTTGGAGCTTTAAATTTTCCCTTCACCAGTGAAGTGCGGTGTCGTGGAACAAATGTTGTTGGTCGTTGGTCATATTCATGAAGGCTTTTCCACAGTCTGATGATTTCTTTGGCTTGTGTATTGGACAAGGCCGTATTTCCTTCTCTCAGAAAAACCAAATATGCTGCTAAAGCCTGAACTTCTCCATATCCCTGAATGTTGTCAGGCCCAGCAGAGTCCTATGGACAAATTAATTGTAATAATTCAGAGTTTACTTTCTGATTCCTTATATAAAGTACTACAAAATATTAACTATAAACTTACCTCTGCATCACTTCCAGCAAGCTCAACAGAGTCTTCATCAGAAGTACTGGCAGCATCTGAGTCTAAAAGTAAATTCACATTTTCAGTTAAAGATTCAGGAAAGGCAGATTTTGTGGACAATACACACTTACCTCTTTCATTACCCAAAGGCACAGTAAGCACTTGCTCTGCAGATGCAATTGTCTCATCTTCATCTTCATTAAATCCTTCATCTATTTGGTCTGGGTTAACATCTGAGAGAGGTTCTTCCTCCTGTTGTGTCATATCTTCATTTACTAGGGTGTTGTCCTTGAGAATCTCACCGGTCTGATTGAAGAGATACTCAACTCCTATCATTTCACCTGTATAGATTCCAATATTCTGAACATTGGGCTTGACTTTCTTACCAAGGACATCTTCACTTAGCTCATTCACAGCATGTATTAATAATCCACTGTAGCTTTCTGGTCCTAATTCAGTACTTGAAACTGCAGCAGAAGCACGATCAGAATTCCACCTCATCAGGCCATCTAACAAGTAAGCTTGAAAATGAATGTCACTTGCTGAAGTACCTAAAATAAATGAAAACAGTGTTATAGACTGTAGTATTTGGGACATGTTAAGTTTTTACACAGATATTGTTACCTGGTATGAATTTATTAATATGCAGGTGGAATGACTCCAAAGATGTTGAACCTCTTGCACATCTATAAGTTGGAAGTCGGACTCTACCTTTAGTCAAGACCCCGGTTTTTGTATACAGTTGCACCCCCTCAGGGTCCTGGATGCATGGAATGTGGTTCTTTTGGTTGTCCCATATTTCCCATACGCGGGTCTTGTCAAGCAAAGGTACTCCAGTAGTATCACATCCCTGGGGACCAGTAAATGTCAGTAATAGATCGTAAATCATTGTCGTAGTGTCAACAATTCCCCGAGTTCTCCTACGGCAATGTAGAGCCAATTCTCTCCGTGTAATCTTTTCAATAATGGCTGCATCAGAAGGGTCAGCAACACCTTGAATCTGCAATTCACCTCTTTTGGCAGACTTCAATAAATCCAGATCTTCTTTGCTCCATTGGAAGATGCATTGTGATAGACGACCGACAAAAACAAATATAGAGTGGATGGGCCTCTGCGTTACATCCAGCAGCAATTCTTCTCATAAAGTGCCAAATATCAAGGCGGATCACTAAATTGTCCCAGAGTGAGAATAGCTTCTTAGCCTTGCCAGTGGAACAACAATCTCTGTCAACATAAAGGACCTCAGGAGGTGAGACACCAGCTAAAGAATATCTTCTCATTAGTCCATTTGCCATGTTTTCCAACCCAGTTCCTTCATTGACAGTCATCACTGACGTGAGCACTTGTCCAATTTCATTTCCGACATTAGTGGCCCAGGAAGCAGTACCAGCACTACCTCCTGCAAGTTTTCTCACAATTTTCTTCGTAGAGTCCATTTTCAATATTCTTCCATAGACAGAGGTGATGGATGCTTTAACATAGTCCATTCTGGCCATGATGTCTAGGGCATACACTGTGAGCAGCCACTTGTACTTTGGCACTGGTACAAATTCTGGAGGCTCTTGAAAGTTAAGGGGACCAGTGAGCCCACTTTTGAATGCATTGGCAAAGTATTTGCAGTCAGTCAGATACTGGGCTGATTTTTGGAGCCACTTTTCACTGTGCTCTTCAGTAAGCTTCTTTTGTAATTGCGTTGAGCTGTTGCCAAGGCCCCTGTTTCTCAACAGTCTGATAACTCGGACATCACAAGCATACTGGTAGGTTAACAAAACTGGGAACTGAAGTTGATGGCCAGTATCCAGTTGTTTTATAATCTCAGGGCTCCAGCTGATAACCTTTCTCTTGCAATGCCTACACTCTAAGTACTCTGCAGCAAGGTTATAGTTGCTGTCAGTGTCTATAACTTGCCTCACAGTACTGTATATCCCAGCACTGGTGAGTAGTTTCCTGTTGCAGCCTTTGTGTGGGCAATACAGAGTGACTTTCCAAAGCTTGTGTGGCATCCAAAGTAGCAGCCGTTGCGCAAAGTATCTGTCAAGTCGAGGTGGTTGTGTGCTTATAAGAGATGGCTGAGGGGGATCCCACCATAGCTTGTTGACCCTAATGAAGAGTAAATACACTGTAGTTAGAAAAGACTGTAATAGTAAGCTTGTATATAACATAAAGTATATCAATATACAATAACAAAAAGTAGTAAAGAATAGTAAGAAATACTAATAATAAAAGAAATAAATAGTCACATATAATTAAAAAATATATATTTTCATATGTACAGTAATATTGTAATGGCTAATGATAAAGAGTTCTTAAATTGGTCTCTAACATTTATTGCATTGAAAAAATAACAATCAATATGTCGGTTCACCTGCTAAAGTCCAACTTTGCTTTTCCCTTATTGTTCATTGTAAATAAGGCCTGAGACACCCACAGGTGGTCAGCTTTAGGTGATGTCTTAAGCCATCCATCTGGGAGTAGGGGGTGTTCTGAAGAATAACATACTTTCATCATTAAAAGAGTGAAATATTAATAACATTTGATACAAAAACTTGTACCTTCATTCCTAACACTGCTGGGGAGGGCTAATGAAGCTGTTAGTACTTGCTCTGGCTGAGCCTCAGGCATTTCAACTACTTCTGGTACTAGTGGCACAGGCTCTTCTAGTTCAGGTGTTTGTATTGATTGAGATGCATCTGGTGTAGGCTGCTGACTTATATTTGGCTCACTGGTTGGTTGGACTACAATGAAAATGCAGAACATTATTTCAGAACACATCTTCAAACAGAAACAGTTAGTAATACCTAAAATTTGAAATATTACCTAAATTCTCCTCTACTTGGTCAGCAAAGGCACAAAGCTCCTCATCATCTACATCTTGAGTAATTGATGTAGATGTCACAGTGGCAAAGGGTGTCTTTGGTTTTCTTTTTCTCACTGATACAGGGATGGTAGGTTTGAACTTTTCAACACCTGTGGTTGATGCAACCCGGGACAAATATTTCTCGGTGCTTATGTGCCCAGATGCCAGACCAGCTGCCAGGGGGGAGACAACTTGTTTTGATGCAGAGTTTTGGCTTGGTTGTGGGGAATTGTGTTGCTTTTTGGCCTCTTTATCCTCCCTCTGCTTTCTCTTCAGGGCCACAACATCACGACCCTCTTGAAAAGATTCCACATACTTCTTTAAGGCAGCTTTGTTTTGACTTATAGGAGAGTTGGTCACTTTTTCATTGCGAATGTTGTCAACAAACCAACCAATGTAGCCAAGAGCGTTTTCCAGCATCCACCTGAAGGACTGGCCACGATATTTTCCAAACTGGAGCAAGTACTCTCCTTGAACATCAAGTTCATTTTGAACATCCCCTTTTCTCTTCTTAACAGCTTCAATAGCAAGTTTTTTGACCTGAACGTAATAGTACAGTGATAATAAAGATTAGGTTTAGATTTAGTCTTTCTAAAACCAAAGGAATACGAAGAAACTATCATCACAAAATGAACAAGAATTTTTTATTAAGTCATAACTGTGAACTAAATAAGAATTCGTTTCTTAATCGAGTATCTTAGTGTAGAATAGGTTTTTAATAACGTCTGATTGTAACATCGCTAAGTTTTATTATCACCAAAATTTATAAGGCACAAGAAATTCAGTTTTACTGTAATCGTCGCAAAACAAGACAAGAGTCCGTCTTAGCGGCTTCGATACACACAGGGCTAATATACAAGGCTAATATCACGAGGTTACAGTTAAATAAACCAACAAACGATTTTTCGTGGATCGGATCGAAAATACCATTATGCATGAATAATTCGGGCTATTTGTCACTGTTAGCTTGTTTTTTTATTTTTTTCTTTATCAGGCGACCTCTGGAATATAACCTAAACTTGACCTGACCCGTATATTTAAATGACCTGACCTTTCGCCTCGCCGCTTCAATATCGGTAAGAACAAATCGGTCTTAAACTTTTAATTGTTTTGTTTGTGTTTAAGTCCTCAGAGTATATAATTAAGAGCGCAATGAAGCAGTCGGTCTTAATTGATGTTTTATTAAACAAAACAAAAGCGATAAGCCGTGTCGGTTAGGACCTTAACAATTGGCTTTTTGAAATTTTAATCTAACAATTCTAAATTGTTTAAGCCTACCTCTTCGGGAGGTTTACTAATGACCTGGTCCTGCTGCTCCGAATTCCTCTTGAAAACCTCGTTCGCTTCTCTAGTGTAGTTAAGCACCAAATCCCCATTGCTGAAACGTCTAAACTTCGGCATTCTCGCCATGGCTGAAAGATATAAACAGAAAGAAAAACCACAAAGGCAAACGACAGAAACGAAGACAATCGAGCGCGTACGTCTCTTCTACGAATATTTTTGGGCGGAAAAAGTTCTAAACGGATTCTTATAAAACAGATTAGAACGCTCGAAGGTATACACCTATTTCAGAAAAGGTTGTCATCAGGTGATAAGTGACAGGTCATTTCAAGACGGAAAGGAATCATGGGTCTTTTGCTAATTGATAACCTAATGGTTATTTTCTGGCCGACAGCCAATTGATAGGGTTTCTCAAAGAGCTGCTTTTCGCAATTACCAATAGATGTATGATGCATATACTATTCTGTGATTATCATCAAGGATGTGACAATAAAAAGACAAAAGGTTTTTATGTATTATTGTTTGATTTTTTTCAGGATAAAGTGTGTCATTGGGAGTGATACTGGTTGAGCAATGTGCCATTGAAGTAATTTAAGAAGATGATATATGCATAGCAGTATGATGTTTTTGAATGGTAAGTAATATTAGTAGCTTTCAGAGCTGGTGTAATTTGGCAAGTACAATATGTAATTGCAAATTATATTGTCAGCGAAAATTATAGGTACTGAAGAAATTAGATGGTTATTAGTGTTATGGGTATAAGGGTTAAGTCAGTTTGTTTGTAGTGATCGGTTTATCTTGTGAGACACTTTTCCTTTTTCTTTTTGTTTTAGGGATAGTGAAGAATGTTGATTGAGCACAGGTTAGAAGTATCAGTTCAAGCCTCGTGATGTTTTCTAGACAACATGAAAATAATGGATGAGAGGATTTGTAATATCTCAGGGTTAAATATTTATGAACTTGTGTGATGTGAAGGTGTACTGGAAGTAAACATGTACAGGATATTAAAAACACGTTAAAAGTAATTGGAAGTGACTTGACAGTAATTAATGGTCACATCAAGACAGCTTTTTTAGTGACATGAAAATGGATGATAATTGAGTTAAAACTATTCAAAGATCATGACATTGACCTAATGTGAAAAAAAGAAATCACTTTTTGTCCAAGATATGCATTAGTTAAGAGTTGATATGAATATGAAAAATTAATTAAAAGAGTCACCAATTATTTTAAGATGACTATGTTTTAATTAATGACGCATATAATGATAAAGTCAAACATTAAGGGAATATTAGTTTTTGCAACAGTGTTAATAATTTCAATATACTATTGATAAAGATTACTAAGAGTACTTGGCAACAGTATGATACTGTGAATAGATGTATGTTTGATTGTTTTAAACGTTATTAAACTTTTGATGGTAATGAAGTGATTTTATTTGAATTACAATATAATTTAGTACAACATGCATGGAACTATAAAAAATGGTGTTAATGCGTTTTAGTTGAAGTTGTCTATTAGATTGACTGGAGTTTAAAGTTTCACAGATGAAATAATAATACTGCAAAAATTTGTTCATAAAGATGTTCAAAAAGAATTGTGTTATTTCGTTCGACGCCAGGAACGCTTTTGTGTGAAAGGAATCCGATTTCAGAGGTTGAAGTTCATGTTCGACTTGGTAACTAGTCGTATCCATTTCAAGGAGTCCCGTAAGTTCACTAGCTTTGGTTTGTAATTATCCGATCGACCCAAATGAGCTAGTACAGATTAGAATTGTGAGCCACGCCATCATTCAGTTGTTGTAAAATGCTTTCAAAGGTGAGAGAAAGGAGAGGGCACTTTGGAACCTTTTTGCTAATTGTGTGTTGCTTGCATTTCAGAACCCTTACGCCATTATAGTATATTTTGTGGCCAATTATAAACCCAGCAGTGTTGGGCAATTGTCATTGTCGCAATGTCCAGTTAGTCGATTTCTTTATATGCCGTTAGAGAAAGTCTATTGAAAATGCATGTCCACTATGTGATAAAGTTTTGAAAATAAAGTTCCATTCAGCGGCATGTCGTGAGTACCATATTACGAAGAAGTACTCCTCCCGCCCGGTATTCAATTGTGTTGCGGGTGGGCAAAATAATGCATTTTTAAACTAGATCGAGCGCAGTTAATTAATGCATGATTGTTAGTAGTTGTTTAGAGCAAAAGACCAAATCTTTAATTTGAAAAAAATCGAATGAAGATGTCACACATCTACAAATCGTATTAACTTTTTACATTGTAAGGTCAGTATGCATATTCTCCATACTGTTGTCAGTAGTAGAATTTGTCTAACAATCAAGAAGTACGTTAGTTGGTGATGATTT